GTTCTCGCCCAGCCAAACCAGCATCTCAGGCGTGACCCCCAGGCGCCTCGGTTTCCGTGTAGTAGACCTCCATTGACGAGCATCCATACTCAACGCATTCCGTCACCCACTTCCGCTCCTCTTGCGCACGGTCTTCATGGCGAAGATGTGCTGGCGGATGGTGTTTGGCGAAGCTCCCAACCAACCCAGGTACCCCACATAGGCCAGGACCCGGTTCTCGTTCTCGATGGGGTCCACGTTGCGGTTGAGGAACGCGTTGATCCAACCTTGTCTCTTGGCCCAGGCGCACCACTTGGCCCAAGCCCCACCATAGGCCTTCTCGGTGGCCGCACTCTTGTCGCCGGTCATGTTCTCCTCCAACCATTCTTCAACCCGTTCACGAACATCACCGCAGAAAGGGGCGTAGCTCTTGGTGAGGTGGACTGCCTGGGCTCCCACCTTCTCAGCGATCTTGAGCGGATCAGTCTTGCCCTTTGTACGGCCACCAGCATAGGAGTCCTCAGCCGACCCGACAAACTCAGTGACATAGGGCTCGTCATTGTCCTCGCCCACGCACTGAGCCCACCACCATGCTTCTGACCACCTCCAAAGACATCTTCGAGGTGGCCCTGTACCACCGCCGGCTTGTCTCATATGTTGGAGGGTTTCGCTTCAGCTCCCCTCACTTCCATCGTCGCAGCCACAACAAAATCTGGGCCATGGCTTCCGCTCCAGTCTCATCGGGCGGACTCAGTCCCCCTCGATCACAGCGTCCTCGACCGGGATGTTGGTCGGCAGGTCCCGCAGCAATCGCCCTTGAAGTACCCATAGTTCTTCAGGGTCAAGACGACGTACATGCCCTCCAGGACCTCGTCGATCATAGATGTAGTAGCCTTGTAGACTGTCGCCACGTTCTGAGAGCAAGGGCCATCGACCTGTTCCTCCAATTCCATGGATCACCTCGCGCTCTTCGCCCCGCCACACATGACCTGCCGGTTGCGGAAGCATTCGGTCCCTTGGAATGCCGCTCTCGAGTTCCAACCGAAGGGGCTTTGCCCAACATAGGTCGTGGTGTTCCTTCAAGAGAGAACTCATTGGCACAGGTCCCATCCACCAAGTTGAGCGCCCGAATGAGGATCCTTCCACCCCGAGTGTTGCTCTTGCGGGATTGTAGCCAGTTCTTTACGATGGTGTTGTAGACAAAGCGCGAGAAGCCCAAGCCTTCAACGTCCCCGTAGTGAGGCGAGTCACCTGGCGGTTAGTCCAGTCGATAGCCCCAACCATCGAAGGCGTAGCGTCGGAGGACACCCATACTACCTTCTCCCATTCCCCGGACAGACTCAATCTCTCCATCGTAGGGAGCATGGGCCGCAAACCTGTGGCAAAGGACTCCCACACCACTTAATGATTGGCAAACCTCGAAGAGCTCCCAAAGGCCGTTTTCTTCCCAAGACTGGCTTCCTTCGCCTCGTAGCCGGGGTTTCACCTTCTGATGGCCGTTGATGCCAGCGAGGAACTTGTCCGCGGCCTTGAGCTCGTTCACTTAAACCTTTCACGATGGACGCCCAGCCAGTCAGGATGCCCCGAAACTGCTGCAACTGCTTGAGGGTGACGTCCTTGGAGCCATAGTCGAAGCAGCTATCGGCTAACAACACTGCTCCCTTTTGGATGCGTCTCTCGGGAAGGGAGGCGGTCTCGTCCTCGGTGCTCATGATCACTCCCCAAACCGCCTGGGAGGTCTTGAAGGCGCCCTCGACCTTATCCTTCTCCTCGTTCACCGCTTTGTCCCTCAGCAGCGTTCTGACGTCGTGCTCGAACACCTCCGCGCTCACCCACGGCCTCAGCCCCACGTGGTTCTACCAGAACTCCGTCATCGACCAGGACTTTGCAGTCGAACCCTTGGGCCATATCTCGTCTCGGAAGTGCTGGCAGTGGGCTCTGTGATACTCCTCCGCGCAGCGCCGCCAGACAGTCCATTCCCCCGGGCTGCCGCTGAACAAGACTGGAGACCTCCACGCCGTCCGGAAACGCTTTCCTTGGATTCCATGGCAGCTCCCCTGCGAACAGCTCGACATCTTCGGGGGCAACCCACAACAACCGGAAAGCTCCTGAAATGTTCTTCGAAAGCAGAACCGGCAATCCCGGGCACCGGCCTTTGGCCCACAAGATGCGCTTGGCGATCTGGGAGTGAGTTGGCTGAAGAGCGGGTGGATGAAGGAACTTGTTCGCGCCGTAGTTGATGGTCCTCTGATCATGAACCACCCGCACCTCCTCCGACACCGAACGGTCAGGCTTGAGCTTTTGGACTGCCTCAAAAGGTGAATCCATCGTCCCACCCAATTGAGGCATCATAGCGCTCACCACCAGCACCCTGCTTCCCCACACCCTTGGCGACCTGGGCGAAGACCTTGTCCACGCGGCGTCGTGCGTTAGCATGAAGCTTTGCAAAGGCTCGGGTTCTGAGTCCTTGGAACTGTCGTCGAACATCACGAAGGTAGAAGGAACCACGTAGCCCTTCGTGAGATCGCTGACATCCGGTGGTCTGGCAGCCAATGTGGCAAAGATTTCCCCAACAAAGCAACTTCCCATTGCGATGCAGTGGGGCACGTTCTTTCGCTCCGGGGTCAACTTCGGGCCCACAAAGACTTCAAGGTAGGCTTGGGCTGAGTTCCCGTGCCCCCTGCACTGTCCCCTGTTCCACGCGCTGGTGCTGCGGGGTTCGGGTCCTTCCGAGCTCCCCCTTGCCAGGTGAGGTTCCACAAGAGGCGATCCTGCTTTCTCTCAATCCTTGGGAGGACTTCCGTCTGGAACCTGTCGAGGGTCGTGGGCGTCACCAACCAAGCTTGTCCATCTGGTCCAGGAGGTGGCGGTCGCTGGTCGTTGTTCTTCATGACCTTTACCTCGGAGGCGAGTTGGTCCAGCTCGGCGTCGGTGACTCGTACTTGATATTGGCCACGAGCTCGAAGTAAGAACACCAGCTCTTCCGACTGCTTGTTGAGCCCTCTGATGGCGCCAGGGGGTTGGCCTCCAGTTCCTGCTGTCTGTTGGTCTGGTGTTGGATTGCTTTGGCGATTTGGGCGACTGGTTCAGCAGTCTCAGTCCCTGGTGTCTGGGGCGACAAACTCCTGGCGGCGCCACGCGCAATCCATCCCCACGTTTTTCTTCCACTTGAGGGCCAGGTTTGTAGTCATCTGCTAGCCCGGGAGGAGGTGGAGGCTCCAACGTGGATCTTGTTCTGGATGAAGGAGTCCGCAATGAGGAAGCCATTGGCAAAGACGTAGCTCGTTCGCCTTCCTTCTCCGGAGTATCGCCAGGGGTGGTGGCCTGACTGCCACCATCCACCATACTCCAATCACTGCAGCCTTCGTGTTCCTGCCGAGGCTTTTCCAGCTTAGCCAACTCCTTCTTGAAAAGTCCTTGCGCCTGCTCCTACTCCGCCTCCCCCACCAGTTGTCGAAGAAGATCACCTGGTGGTAGTAGTCGCTCAACCCCGAGTCGCTTGCGTGCTTGATCCTCTCGAAGCCCATCAGCCTTCCCCGCGGCAAAGATCTCGAAGAACTCCTCCAGCAGACTGCCTGCCCCTTCCGAACCTGGTGAGCTGAGCATTCTTCCAATACGGGACTGATGCTTGAACCTTTCGGGGTGTGTCCTGGAGACCTGGTAGCTGCCCTGCGTCGGGGAGTTCTCTCTTTGGCTTCTGGCTCCTCCCAATCACGGGCACGCCCCAACAACCTCCGCGCACGTCCGTGCTTGTTCTCCTCGTCATCGTTCTCCTCATCGTCGACGTCCTCCACAACTCTTGTATACGGGACCTTGACCTGGATCGACGTGCTGAGGTAGAAGAGCGTCTCGTCGCGGCCAAACTTGTAGGTTCGTGTTCTGGACACCACACTACCCCATGTTGCAGCTTGTTGCCAAACTTCTTGCAAAAGGTCACACTGCACTTGTCCGGGTAGCTGGGGTATGGCCCGCGAAGCTGCAACCCGGCAAGGATTCCAAGTCGAAGGCCCTCACTAGGCGCGCCAGGGGAGGGACCTGACGACCTTCAAGTGAGAGATGGGCTGGGGAAGGCATCAAAAAGATGCCACAGGGCCTGGACTTCGAAGAAGCCAGAGCTTACAGTGTGCTTTGCCGCCGAAAAGAAGCTGCTCGGTGGAGAGTGCATCACGCACACTGAAAAGAGAACATTGGGGGGGGACCACATATATATATATCATTTGGACAACAGGGCATTCTAGGCGGTATTTTCGTTTGTAAATTCAGCTCGGCTTGTGCGACTGTCCAAGTTGTGCCCCTGCTTTGTTTTTGTCTGCATTCATTATGTCTGTGGATTGGCCGCCCCGGCCTTGTCCAGTCTTTCGGGATGATATAAAGGTGTGTTTGCCTGGTGACATGCACTTGACATTGATCTTTTTGGGAGTCCATGTTGGTATTTTTTGGCTAAATGGTGCAAGTCAATATTGATCACTTGTCACGCGGCTAATTGGTGCTGAAACCTCCTCGACTCCAGCATCGCAAGTGATAGATGATGGCCTGAATCAGGTATTTCCGCGATGGCCGATTGGAACGCATTTTTCACCGAATTGTGAATAAGACGGAAAAGCGGATGGACAAGTACACAGAGGAGCTGCACGAGCTTTTTGACAAGTGGTCAAAGTGCACCTACAATGAGCTGGATACTGATATCTCTGAACCTGAGTGCTGCTAATGCTTTAGTAAACTGTTAGGGGCGGAGCGCAAAAAGATACGTCGTCTGAGTCTGGCTACTTTGGGGTGTGTACCCAGGCTGCTAGGACAGAGAAGAAACCATCATTTAAGTGACACATGCTGCAGACATTATGCTCATGGAAGGAATTGGCATGCCAGCTGTTCTTTGTTTAACCAGCTGCAAGAACACATGTTGAATAAGCAAGAACTGTAGTGATGTCTTTCAGAGGTGAAATGCCTAACGAAGCCTGAACCGCCAAGAAATATGCATCACGACTGGCTAGCTCATGGCTTATTGGCTGTTGAACCAAATCACCAGAGCACCCCGCAAAAGTAGGAGGATGAAACATTATGAAACTACGTTTTGGTGAGTTTCAGACAATGGCATTTGTGCTGTCTTGATACGAAGACTCCCCATGCAACTGCTCCATGCATCAGCCAATGCCGGTGACAAAACATGGCTATGATCTGAGAATGCAATGCAGGATTTAGAATTAGTTTGAATGAACACGTTTATGCACACAAAGATCTACTGCTTCAAGCAACACTGACTGTAGCTCACTCCAACTTGGGAGAACCAAGGAACAATGGGTGACCAGAAAAGAACAGGGCAAACAGTCACACGGCCCCTCCGTTCCAATAAGAAACATCACGGGCTATACTTGTTGAAAGTTGAAAAAAGTTTCGATCAGAAAGTTCCAACTCCTAAAAAGTCTCTTATGTCTTTTTCAAATGTAGAGTTGCGCGACATTGACAGAAAAAGCGAGAAGAGACCTGTGAATGAGTAGTGTGCCGGGGCGAAGAGAAGGTGCTAAGTGCGGCTGGTGCCAGATGGTATAGATGGTATCCGGTGGTTTTGGGCGCGTTGCCGCTGGCGGCGTTGCTGGTAGTCGTTGTGGCAGGGTGCCATGGAGTTGTGTGACATTGCGAGACAGGGAGAGAGAGAGAGAGACTCATGAATGAATGGGCAGCTTGGAAGCTTGTCCAAAGGGTAGTTTCAGGGCGGTTGCCATAGAGAGACTTGTCGTGTTGAAAGCCGACAAGGGTATGAGACGGGCAGGGTACCGCAGGCACAGTTGAAGCAGGCTTTCCTCCCGATCCTTGCAGGATTTCACAGTATGCTGTGTGGAAGCTTCAGCTCTGCATCTCTCTCTCTCTCTACATTATATAATATACTTATAATCTATACAAAAACTAAACATAGGACTCTAGGATCGGACGTGTTAACTTATATACACCAAGTGGTGTGTGATGATTCTTCATCGCGGTGATCCTTTTGTGATGCTGTTTTGTTTGGTTTGTGCCGTCGTTTTGTGGTTTGTGCGATCTGGCACAACCCAGTGCGCAGAACACCCAGTGGCCCAGCGGGCTATGCAGGGAGTATGTCAGGGTATTTATGTCCACCTTGCTGTCTGAGTGCTTGGGTTTGGCTAGGCAAGACGAAATGCACCTTGTGCTTGTGGAAGACGTGATACGTTGGATGCTATTGGCGAGATTTGAAGCCGTAAACATAGAGCGCATTTATCATTTGGGAGATTTTAAGCTCAGTATGTATCACTAAGAAGAGGAGCTCCTTTCCTCGACTTGACAGATAGTTCGCACTTCTGGCAATTTAGCAAATCTTCGCTTCTTGGGGTCAGCGCTGACCATGTGAGCACTCACTCTTGGAAAGGGTGAGTCTCGCTGTTGTTTCATGGTTAACGGATTAACGATTTATGGTGCTTGTGGTGGTTTGGAATTGCATCAATTCACAACACGAATTGACATGATTGCAATCACTGATAGAGCAAAACAACTGTGGTCACGTGCCTCATTCAGGATTAAGCAACATAAACAGCACCTGCCTGGATGCCGAAATTGGTTTGAGGTCAAGACACAAATAGATGAACAGGCCAGCTTCACCAAAATGTGTTGAACAAAAGAGGTTAGCCAGAAGGGTGTGTATCAAAATAGGGAGACCTCGGAGATCGGAAGAGAGAAGATAGCGACCAAAACGCATTGGTCGGGGTCACCATTTTGAAATACACGCCCAGGTCTCAGGTGGTTGTCTCAAGCGGGTTTGGCTCCAGACAGATCTAAACTCCTCGATAACCCTGCAGCCACACAAGAGACAGCAACGTTGGAGTCCACGCTCCCCATCATGGCCAAAACACGTAGTTTTGGGGGCCCTGGTCACCTTCACGGTTTGAATCTCCTCGCGCTGCCCTGCCAAATTGATCACACCATTGACGTAATTTTCACAACAAAACCGTTTGGAGGATCCTGTTGGATTTTTAAAGTGGTTTTCGGGTGCAATTACAAGATAAGCATACGAGCGTGAAGCCTTCTGATCAACTGGTTGCCAATGCCTCGCATTGTACCCGAATGGTCGGTGGAGCGACATTGTAGGGGAGAAGGCAAGACAAAGCGTAGTGTGTCTTTGTAAAAGTCAGTTTCTGGCTGGCACCGGAGCAGCCTCAATCAGTGAGAAGACTTGAGAAGTCTATCGATAACTTCTTCACACCGTGAAACATCCATATGGGATCATATGAGTCGTTTCAGAATTAGCAGCATTTACGAACAAAAAAGGGATGTTTCATCTAGACAGTTTTCTTTCTTAAACAGTCCTTGGAAAAAGACATGGGAGGTCCAACGAAACTCTACCCTTATTGTTTCAGCCTATGGTTAATAGAAAGTTTGCAGAGTACCTCTTTCGTTTGATGCTGTTTAGGCCGACCGTGCGAATGTGGCACATACCGAGGCGCAAGCAGAACTTCGCCTTGACGGACTTGGCATCCGCAAAATTGTGGAGATTCCTCCTGGCATCAAGGCAAGAAGCTACTAGGGGCTCCTGGCCGTACTACTAGGAGCAAAGGGCCACGCTACTAGGGGCTCCTGGCATCGCTACTAGGAGCACGGACGCTACTAGGGGCATTAAAACATCGTAGGAATCTCCTGTTTTTTGTGCTCCTTTTTGCAGCATCGCTCATACATTTCTTGCTGAGGTGCTTTCAATCAGCAGCAATCGTTTGAGAAGCCTGGGATCGGTTCTTCTCTCAGTCTCACAGTGCTGCTTTCAGGGGGCCTTGCTAAAGAGGCCCTTTCTTCCATATCAGATTCCATTTTGGAAGAACAACTTGACTGTGAATCTGGAGGGCACATGGCCTGCAAGATGACTTTGCAATCTTGACTGGTGCTACCCTTCCCGTTCACAAACCTCACTGACACTATACTTGGCAGGAGGCATTCACTGTACCGTTTTCCTGCCCATTTCCCACCAGAATCTCCTAGACTCATAGTGTACATATGTTATGTAGAGTACGTATGCCTTCTTGTAGTCGCATTCAAGCGGCCTCCTTTCCCTTTTATTCTATTCCGGACATTTTGTGTTGCAGTGTTTCTCCCTTTCTTCTCTTTTGATGCTTTTTGCGCTCTGTCTTTGTCTTTCCCTCCAGTCCTCTCTTCTCTTGTCAGGCCTCCTTGTGGGGCATTCTAACTCTAGACGTTCCCTTACTTTAATTGCGCTGTCTCTCCAGAAGGCTCCTGGACTCCTGGCTCTTGTTGCCTGCCTTCTGAAGCCAGGAATGTGGCAGCATGTGGCAGTGACCACTTTCAACAGAGAATGCAGCAACATATATGAATGTACGCCCCCGGAAATTAAGACGACCGGGGTTGCAGTCTCTTTTTTTCCATAAGATCTCGGCTCAAAAGTTGATGGTCCCGTGCCGGGATTGTGGACTCCTCACCGGGGAGTTGAACCAACTCTGCGTCTACTGCAGAGTGAGGAATCGGTTTTGGGCTACAGCCGACGAAGTTGCCCACCGAGCTCCGTGACAGACCAGAGCAAGGCATCACCCAAAAACTCTCCTGTGCCGGGGAGGGATAACCAAGGTGAGGAGGACGAGACCAAGAAAGTTGACAAGAGTTGGGTTCCAGTAAAGAAGGAAGAAGATTGGCCGCGGACACCTCCTTCTGGGGAGGTTGGTTTAGTTGAGATTGAAGAGGACGAAGGCAAGCATTCGAGTTCCTCAAAGGTGCACTTGGAGGAGAAGAAGAAGAGGCGATCCCGGAGGAGAAGTACTACAAAGAGTAGAAGCCGAAAGGACAGAAAGCGAAAGAGCAGGACTCGCTCCAGGTCGAGGCATCGAAGGAGGAGATCACCAAAAGGGTCCCCGCCTAAGGCGCCACCAGAGGAGAGGCCTGTTGAGGAGGAGCGAAAAGAGAGGAAGGCGAAGCCATCAGTGAGACCGCCGAGGACCATCCAGATCACCTCCTGGAAGGCATAAACCGCCAGCCAGGAAGCCACCAGTTCACCCTCGACCACTAGCTCGACCGACCGGACGTGCTTGGCAGGGCCCTAGCAGGCCGTGGAAATACAACCCGCGGTACTTCGGGGAGAACAAAGGTGTGAAGAAGAGGGAAAGGCATATCAATCGCTCACAGGGTGACCAGTGAGGAGTGAGGAAGAGAAGGCATGCCGCCAAGGCTTCGGCCTGCAGCGGACTTGAGGAGACCTCCCGCTCGGGGAGGAGGCGTACGAAGGAGACCAGCAGCTCGTGGGGAGGCTGGAGAGTTGGACGAAGGACGAAGAGAAGACCGAGAGGAGGCTCGACTTGCAGCAGTCGGGACGAAGTTTCAAGAAGGTGAGAAGGTGCAATGTCAAAAGGTACCACTGGAGGTGTTGAGGAGAAGGCTCCCGGTGTACATCGAGGGCATGTATTGGGGAGCCCGAACTACGCTGGCCGGCCTCGTCGAGAACTTCCACGTTCGCTCAATGACGGATGTGGAGTTGGAAGTGACGCCACAAGGGACCAGCGAGGAATCCCTCTTGAAATGGGCCTCAGGCCATCCAGGACAGAAGATCATGAATGCGCCGAGAAGCTGGAGGCAGAGGACTTCATCCATGGAGTCATGATTCAAAAGAGGTCAGGAGAAGATCCACCCTGGATGAGCAATCTCATAGAGGAGGCTCCAGGGGGCGAAGAAGCACAAAATGAGCAGTCTCCTAATCGGGGAGGCCGAGGGCGCAGTGCCAGGAGGAGAAAGGTCGAAGAAGGAGGCCGAGAAGAGAGGAAGGTCCGTGGAAAAGGACAAGAAGAAGAAGAGAAGGCGAGAAGGAGAAAGAGACAAGAGTCCCGCCAAAGCGAAGGAGAAGATCGACTTGAAGGCAGGCTCAAAGAAAGAGCTGAAAGCGGCGTTCGGGGCCACCGGACTCGACCCGGATCCCAAGTATCGCCGGAGATTCGCTGCTCGGGCTCAGAAGAAGGCCAAGAAGAAGAAAAAGGAGTCATCATCAGACGGCAGCACAAGCAGCCCGAGCTCATCGACTTCAGAGTCCATCGAGGTCTTCGAGGAGCAACAAAAGGTGCGGCGGTTGGCGAAGAGGGCTCCCGGGCTCCTGGCTGCACAAGCCATGAAGGAGATTCAAACCTCCTTGCTCACGGCAACAGGAGGGGTCTGGGATCAAGACCAGTCGTCGATACAGCCCTTGGCGACGCAGTATTACCGGCAGTCGCTGGCGCCGCGCCTGACTGGAGGGCCAGGGCGCGAAGCTTTGACCCTTTGCTGGGCGATCGATCTTGCCCTTCAAGGTCGCCTGGCGGAATGCGTGGACGCTCTCGTCCAGAGGCTGAAAAGTGTGGAATTGGTGTCACAGGGTTCCGCATGGCAAATCGCGCAGAGACTGGAGGTTTTACCTCCAGAACGACCCGTCTTATCTTCAAGAGGAGAAGCAAAAGAGGCAATAAAAGAACAAAAGGAAGAGCAGCGCACCAGAAACGAAGCAGCGAAGGGCCGCAGCAAGTCAGATCAGTGGCAATGGTGCGACTATGGGGGAGAAGACCGATCCAAAGGCCGGGACTCAAAGGGAAAAGGAAAGAAAGGGAAAGAGAAGGCAGACCCAAAGAAGTAGAGGCCGAGACTATGAGGATTTTGAGTACAGAGGAGATGAATCTCCGACCTTTTCGAGCTCCTGAAGCTGGGGAGCGAATGGAGCAAAGTCAGCAAGGGCTACCGGCTCGTCAAGTCGACGATGGTGGCTCTATCCCGACTGGAGATGGTTGGCCGAGTAGCATGGTCATGGACCTTCAGTCGAAGCCTGGCGAGACCTCGTTGATGAACTTGCCAGTGGAAAAAGTTTGCATGTGTCCGCCGGAGAAGGGGAGTAGTTTGGTCCAGGTCGTCCCGTGGGTCGTCGACACGCTGGTTGAACTTGTTGATCGTCTAGGGATGGAACGGCAATGCGGGACCCAGCCCAAGGGTGATGTCTTCCCATTACCCACCAGCCTGTCAACACTCAGAGACTTTTTGGACCTGGACATTGAAGTGATTGGACTTGTACGTGGTATTTGCCTTGCGTTGAATTTGTTTTATGGTGCCTGCAGAAAACCGCTTTCACCCCACAATACTACAAAAGGAAGCAATAAGATACTTATCTAGAGAGGCTCAAGTGGCTGCGGCCTGGCCCGAGAGGCTGGAGGAGGTGACGTGGCAGAGTTTCTTCCAGCTGAAAACCGTAGATTATTGTGGGGATGAAGTGTTGTGTGCTCAGTCAACTAGTTGGGCCAATTTGGCCCCGGCTATGCCTGCGGAGGTTGCTTCAGTCAGGCTGGAGGAGGTCTGTGAGCTAGGGTGTCGACATTATGTTGAGCACTTCACTGATTATCTCCTACTCGGGGAGATGCAGCGGAGCATGAAGAGTCCCAGGGTGCTCGTCCATGATGACAACTGGAAGGAGGTATGCCAAGGCCTTCTGAAGGCTGCTGGAGTGTGCGTGCCCATGCCCGAGTCTCAGGTCTACGCCGTGGATGGGCTTCCACTCCTAAACGGACTATTTGGCGTAAAGAAGGAGGAGCAGGTGGACGGGATAGAGGTTCACCGCCTGATCATGGATCTTCGACCTTGCAACATGGTTTGTCGAGGGCTTGAGGGGGACGTTGCAACTCTCCCAAGCTGGGCTGCAATGGGGCCACTTCAACGGAGGACCTAGTGGTGTCTTCAGAGGATGTTCGCTGTTTCTTTTATATATTCCAGGTTCCTCAGGAGTGGTGCAGGTTCCTGGCATTCAACAAGCAGCTTCCTCAAGACCTTTGGCCCGGCGAAGATGGTCCCTACTATCTTGCAGCTCAGGTCCTACCCATGGGATTCAAGAACTCTGTCAGCCTAGCTCAACACGTGCATAGGAACATCGTTCGGCGAGCCGCTGAGAGAATTCCTGATGCCCTGAGGCCGCAACAGGAGATCAGGAAGGATCGACCCTTCAGTGCCTCGCCCACTCTCCATCGCATCTACTTGGACAACTTTGACCTCGTCGAGAAGGTTGAGAAGGAGCACATGCCCCTCCCAGTCGGGGAGGAGAGCCCGGGAGTAGTGGCTCTGAAAAGAAGTTGATGGTCACAGATGCAAAAGGCCAACATCGTTTACCCACCATTGAAGAACGTGAGGTCATCATGGGTTTTCCAAGGGGGTATACGACCCAGTGCATGAGCAAACAGTTTCAAGGAACTACTCAACATGAGGATGAAAGGAAGACATTGATAGGCAATTCTTGGAATGTCAACGTGGTGGCATGGTTGATAGCTCAGCTTGGTGCACAACTGGGACTTTGTGACCGTCTGGGACCTCAGGACGTGGTGGACCGCACCAAGCCGGGGAGCTCCGTGGACCTGTCCGGGCTCCTTTATAGACCTCCTATAATTTCAGGGAGGCGACGGGTGGACCAGCACGGGGAGCAGCAGTTGGTGACCAAGCTCCTGAATCTGGTTAGCGTGAAGGGAGAGGCCAGGAGACTATGAGATATCATCGCCTGCGTGCAAGCCTGCCGGCCAATTTGTGGAGGTGGAAGACGGTCATGGGGTGGCACTGGCGTGGCTCACCTGAGCACATCAACGTTTTGGAGATGCGGGCCGTGCTCACTAGTATTCGGTGGCGAATTATCAAAAAGCGTGCTTTTCATTCAAAGGTGGTTCATCTTGTCGACAGTCTCGTGTGTTTGCACTCTCTGGCTCGTGGCCGGAGCAGCAGCAGAAAAATGAGAAGGACTTTGAGTCGCATTGACGCTTTGCTTCTGGCTTCTGGGAATCAGGGAGTATGGGCTTATGTCCATACTTCACAGAACCCCGCTGATCGGCCGTCTAGGCGGCCCATCAAGAAGAAATGGTGAGAAGAGCAATGGCATACCTGGAGGGCCGAAGCAAAGCGACTCGTCAAGCTCAAAGAAGACAATTGGGACCACTTCGACAACTGACAGTACAAAGCAAGACCCGAGCACGCTATGATAAAGCCATTGAAAAGTATAGAAACTACCTCCGCGAAGAGAACCGCAGCTTCCCAAAGGACGCCGCGTGGCAAGACACAGTACATCGAGCATCTCTGGGAGACCGGTGAGGGCCGAGCATTGGCCTGTGATTCGGTCGCCTGCCGAATCGTGCACCACCATTGCCCATCGACGCCCTCCACACCATGGTTGGACAGAGTCTCTTTGAGGATACTCCACTTTTCGCGTTGTCCCTGCTCCTGGGCTTTCACGGACTCCTAAGAACCGGGGAGTTGTTGGGGATCCGGAAGAACCACGTCTCGCAGGCAGGCCCTCGAAGCCCTGCCGTCATCTCACTCGGACTGACAAAAAGTGGCAAGCGAGCCGGAGCAGCCGAAAGTGTGACCATTAGAGAAGAAGAAACCCTTCGTCGACTTTGGCAATGGCTCATGACACCTGATGCCCCCAGTCTTTTGTGTGGCACAGCCCACCACTGGCGCAAAGCATTCAATGACTGCCTTGCGGCCTGCAACTTGCAAGCGTATGATTTTCGACCCTACAGTCTTCGTAGGGGAGGCGCTACGATGTATTTCGGAAAGCATGGATCGCTTGACCGCCTCCTAGTTCAGGGGAGGTGGGCTTCGAGCAAGACTGCACGAATATACATCAATGAAGGCTTAGCCGTTTTAGCTGAACTTAAGTTGACTTTGAACAAGACTGCCCTAGCATACCAACGCCAGTTTCGGAAATCCCTACAGTCTCCCTTGCCGGATCTTGAGCATCGCCCAAAGGGTGGGCCAGGGGGACGTGGAAAGGGATCCAAGCGCAAGCGCAGGAAGTGAGTTTTCTTTGACGGATTTCGAATTCAATCTCTCCGCCGGCGGAAAAGCAAGAGTCTCTGGGGAGACAACAGGGGGGTGGTGGCCCGGCTGTTCCCCAGTCTGGCGGGGCCCGGGACCACCCAGGTTCTTCGGCTCACTCTTTCC